GCTTTTGAATAGTTTGATTCCTTTGGAAGTTTTATATTCTAGATAAGAGTTGGAGACGAGAAAATAATATACTTTTCAAATAGCTACAAAGTTCTATTTTACTAATACTTCAAAAGTTAGTACTTACGTTTATGAGTTTGACGGAAACTTCATAAATAAACGGAGCTCATTTAAATGCTGGTAAAATTGTTTCTGAAAATTACTTTTTGTTATTACACAAACCGTTCTTCGATGTCTAATACAAACTATTTTACTCGTTCAAATGTCATACATTTCACATGTTTCATTTTATTTTACTTGAAAAGGATATTTCAATTCAATAAAAACAACGAATTATCTAACTTTTATTAAAATTTCATTGATCAATAAGTATATTGGGAATACTGTTTTTAATAAGTCAGTATGTTTAACCTTAATTCGTGGATTTTTTTATTCGTATTAAAGCTTCACTGATTTGAAATGAATTAATTTATTTCTTATGATAATACACATCAAGTATTAAGTATTATCATTTATTATCTGTGATAATTATTAGAAAATAAGCTATTGTAAGTAAATACAAATAATGTTATATTCTCATGTACATTTCACTGAAAACGATGACTGGTGACTTCAAATTTTATAAGTTACAAGTTGTCCCGCGAACCGGCGTTGCCCGAGATTTAGTTTGCTAGGGCTGAGTAAAATAATTACAAATAAGATAAAAAAGTCAGTACTCCAGGCTGTATATTGTAAAACTACCTACTTTGGATCTACATATTATGTACATAACATTATATTGATTATATCTCCCTCTTACTCAAGGGCCCCAGTCCCAGATCCCGTTCCAACAGTTAAAAGCTTGTCCAGAATCGTGGTACATAGAATCGGCCTGTTCCTTTAATCATCACCTACCGTTCGCTCGAGTACCGTGGTTACCGTGGTTACAAACAAAGTGTTTATTTTGGGTTAGCAACAAAAAATATTTCGAATTTAAAGTGCAAAATTCGTGTTTGAGGCCACCCTTAGGGGTGGAATTTTCGAAAAGTACTATTCCAGTTATCTTCGCGGGAGTGTACTCAACAACTTCCCAAAGTTTCATGGCGATCGGATAAATAGTGTACTAATATGCATAAAGGACAGACAGACAAACATTCATTTTTATATACCATCCAAATTTGGCAATCTTGTTATGAACAACAATATTTTTTATACTATGCAAACAATACGTTTAATAATATTATGACGCTGTGATAATTCAATTTTTGGATAATAATTTTTGGTATATATATGTTTTAATATAATCTAGTTAATTACGTGCCATTCAGTAATTAATATTGCAACGTCAAAAATATTTTATTTCAATTAAAAAGCGCCAGCTCAAATGCAATTACTTCACGTTAATCAAACTGTGAATTGAATTGACACCAATAATTTAAAAAGTTTTCTCTCTGAAAATTGAAATGTTTGAAATTAGCTTCTAAAATTGAATTGACACGAGTATTATCATACTAAAAGTAAAATGTATATCATATGTATCAATCAAACTATTATTTACCAGTAAACTCTAGATTAATTTTGCTGTCAAGATAATTATACCTACTCATCAATTGTAAGAATTTTCCCTGTATATAGACACCGTGCACGAGGACACTCGGCGCAAGATGTTAGTCCCTTAAGAAAGCATTGAAAAATGTAAAATTTCACTTTTTTATTATTTAAAATTGTGTAAGAATAAAAAATTGTTTTCAAATTGGATGTACTTGATTTGTTATTATTTTAGATAATTATCATTTTAAACTGTTATAACTGTTATGTATTGTGTTAAAAATTTAACTGTACTAAAATGTTATCTGGCGTTGTGCATAGGCAATATAGCTACAGGAATGTCATCGGTTACACAATATTGTACTCGTATTAGTAGTTTTAGAATTTAGAGGATATAATTTCGAATTTTTACTCAAATGGTATATTAAAGATGGTAGACGGTTTTAACTTATATCAGCTCTATTCTTTCTTTAAATTGATTATCATTTTTTTTTTATGTTGTTCTTAGTATGGATATTTTTACTGTTTAACTATTTTTCTTCACTCGTATTAATCAAATAATTTATGACCTGAAAACTGGGGTTTAGGACTGCCATTTAATTTACCTAGAACTTATGTTACAAATTGAATACATTGCATTTTTACGAATATAAAAATTAACAAATAAAAAGAAAAATTTGCTTAATAAGTATGTCAACTTAAAAAATCTTAAAGCTAATCACCAAACTAATACATTATTAGTGTTATTGTTTTTATTAACAAAGCTAAAATTAAAGAAAATAATATTTAAGTTAATAACACTGTTGCATTGATCATTTTTTTAGAGAAGATAGTAATTTTATAAAATATAATCCTTACAAATTTTTGATAAGCCGTATGTGGTTATATACATAATAGAAGTGATTAAAAGTTTAAACGTTTCCGAGCTTCATTTATATTTATATTAACGGAATTGAGTGATTACTCTGAAATAGTAAACACTTTGCATTTACAGCCATTTGATCAGACTATTAGTTTTATAATTTAACTTTTAGTTTTCGGACAAAGCATAGTCTAATCTAAGCATAACTATTAGAAGTAGTATTAAATATTGAATACTATGATGAATACCGAGGATACACTGTTAACCATATAAATATTGATAATACCTATAAAATAAAATAAAATGAAATGTTGTCAATTTTTTGTATTAATTACTGTTGGGTTTTTGGTTTAATCAGTAATTACACATATTGAATTTTATAAAAAATAATTAAAAATGAATGCTTGTAAACTTACAACATGAATTAATATATTATTTAAATAATATATAAGACTAGTAGCTCGCATTTATTCGTTTGTTCGTGATTGATTATCAATTTAGTATTATTATTATGCAGGGATTTCTTATTGAAATTTATTTTTATTTTAGCATAAAAACGAGAATGCTTCCTTTCTTTCAAAGTGAACTTGGATTAAAGTCAATTTATGTTAATACTACTCGTTCTGCTCGAAGGCAAGCCTTTGTTATAGGACAAAATGTTATAGGACATCGATAGGACAAAAAAAAATGTATTAATTAATATATATATTTTGAGAAGCGCACTATCATAATATTCAGATAACAACATGTTTTGTAATAACTCATATCCTTCAAACAGTATATTTTATAGCAAGCATCTGACTCACAATTTTAAAACAATAGATGACCTGTCAGTATACAAATATTAATTGCTACGTTTTTTGTATTCATTCACGGTAACAAAATGTTTGTATTAACTCAAGACAATGGAGTTTTTGAAATAACATTAAAATCAAATAAATATATCTAGCATACTACGTACTCGTTTTACTCCCACTTTTTTTGTTGTTTATAAATTACTTTTGAATATCAATAAATTATTTAAAAATAAAACGACTGGTAATGTCATAGACTCAAATGAGTCTTATGAGTAGGTTTAGAACTATGTTGTAGTTAGAACTATGATATTCTGTTTACATACAACAGTTAAAAGTAACAACGGAGTTAATAATAGTAATATTCAACGAAGCTCATTATATTAATGTAAAGAAAACTGTCGTTTCTTTAGTCATAATTTAATTTATTAAAGCTATATCTATAAGCTCTTTTCTTATCATATCAAAGTTCACACCTGTCAAAATTATTGCCAGAAAATGAATTTGCCCACCCACAATTGTAAATTGGCCATACTATATCCACATTGCTCAATAGTAGGAGATTTTTATTTTTAACTAGAAAATGTTCTCATATTATTTCCTAAATTAACTTTTCTATTTCAAGTTTTAACTGAATTAAAACACAATAGTTGTCAAATATTTAAATAAATTCTATCAACAAAATCATACACAAATAAATAAACAAACAGAAATATTTTTCTTTAAAAAATGTAAATAATAATAATTATTATTATTATTACAATTATTTGTAGCCAACATTGAAAATTTCGTTTTATAATAATAAAAAAAAAAGAATCTACTTATAGTAACTTGAATGGAATTGAAAATAATTTATGAACGAGCAAAGCGGTCATAGTAGTAGTGACAACTTTCTCTTTATATAGTTATTATTTTAACAACTGGGCAAATCATTTAGCAACTGTTAAATTCAACAAAAGTTAATTTTATTGTATCTACAAATATGTATTGTCAAATAAAAAAAAAGATCGAAGTAATTGAGTGGCCAGTTTTGGATAATTAATTTTCAAGTTATTCAATTTTAAAAGTTATGATAGAAGGAAAAGGGTGGTTGAGTAATGCGTGCAGATAAAAACATCTCTACTCTCCACCCTTCCTCCCGTCCTAAAGTTTAAACTTTAATAACTTTGAAACTAATTATCCAAAACTGGTTATCGACCAGTCAACATTTTCAGCAAATTATTCTCAATTCAATAAGTTAATCAAATATATACGTTATATTTAAAAAAAACTCAAGTTTAAAAGATTTAACACATAAGGGATGGAGTTATAATTTAAAAAATTATATTTAATTAATGTTAAGAAAACTGTCGTTTCTTTAGTCATAATTTAATTTATTAAAGCTATATCTATAAGCTCTTTTCTTATCATATCAAAGTTCATACCTGTCAAAATTGTGGCCAGAAAATGAAAATTTAACAAAAAATAAGCGTGTTTTGGTGGCGACTTATGACCAGTCAAAATGTGTAGTACATTATTCTCAATTTAAAAAGTTAATAAAATATATACTTTACCGTTTAAGTTTAAAAAGCTCCTACCGAAAAAAACGAAGTTGGAAGGGGGTAAAAACAAAAACAAATTGTGAAAAATTGAGATCACGTTTTATAAAACATTATAAAAAAAAAAAAAATGTCAATTATTAATTAAACCCAGTGAGACATTGACTGGGTCATGATAAAAGATTCACCCTGTATAATAAATAATTTTAATTTTTTTAGCCTTTATTGAGTAAACTTGATGGCTCGATAACTAATTGTTATACATTTATTTATTTACAGATGACGACGCCTGTTTTTGTCTCGTCTAGGGTAAGTGTTTTCATCTTATTTATTAATTTTTTTAGTTTATATATTATTACGAAAAAGAGCTTAATCATTTATATTCCATATGTTTATTACGTTATAACTATTACTCCACACATAATTCTATTTGCACGTTTTTTCTTTTCATTTGTATTTATTATTCTGCTTGGTACACTTTCAAATAAATTAGGTACATACGAACACAAAAATGAAAATATATTGATTGGAACTTTCATGGCTGTTGTTAGAAACTACAGAATCGCTTTGATGTCTCCAAACGTTTGGTTTCGTTATAGCATTATAGCTTCAATGCAAATACGAGAAGGCAGTAAACATAATAAAAAAAATAATATTATGAAAATGTATTAGTTTTATTTGGTCGAAAAATTGTTCAAAAACCATTTATTTAATTTAACGTCCAGACTAGTCGATATATTTATAAATGATTAAACAAAAAAAATCTACATACGTAGTGTACAAAGTAATTTATTTTAATTTGGTGAATAATTATTATTTCATTCTGTTACAAAGTGTGCTACAGAGGTGGAATCGATTATCCGTATCTTTCTTTTCGCAATGAAAGTTTGATGTAATACCATTTAATTTGAAAATGTCTCGTGCCTTTTATTTATATGTATTTCTTTAGATTTATCTTCTCGGTCGAATAACATTAAAATGTATACGGTTAACAAGGACGCCGCTTTTGTTTATGTCCATGGTGTAGATAAACCATGATTACATTTTGCAGACTATAATGGCAATCCGCACATCGTTATTTCATTGATTTTCCCAAGCACAAGGTAATTTCCATAACCATAGACATTAGATTGTGTTCCAGAATAATAACATCAAGTATAATAATAAAATGAAACATGGATTTATTACAATATTGTAATCGAAAGAGGCGATGCTGTCTGCGGGTGTAACGGTATTACTGGTTATACTTTACTAAAAACAATTTAAAAAACTATGTGTATCATAATATTTTATTTATCTTTCGCTTAGAATAGTCGAATATTTTTTTCATATTTATAACTAGGAGTAGACCTATAGTAGTAGAATTAAAGTAGACCGAATTCGTTGCCAATAGATAGTACATGTCATTCGACAATTTTGTTAATTATAATTATTTTATCTAGATTTTAGTTTGATTTGAAAGCTGTGAGATTAAGGGGAGGAGACATATTCGTAATATCGCGGTGCCTTGACATAAGTACCAAAGCCACAAACGATTGCCTATGGCATAAGCTGTACTATATGACATAAAAGCAATTTCCGAGGAGCCCCCCAACACACACGGATAGTGAACCAGTAATGTTTAAAACATAGATTTCATTTATACAGTTGTATCCAGCAAAAACGTGCCTTGTGGCTTGTGGTATGCTGCTATAACGTGAACGACGCGAGTATTGTTATTTACAGTGAATAGTGTAACGTTTGACATGCGGGTTAGAAGTACATTTTGAAACGTTTTGCCTTCAACAAAACGGGAAAACCCTTTGCTGAATTTCCCGTCAGTGTTTTAGTCGATTGCAGTAAATGTTTGCAACAGCTTGTTTGGCGGTTGTAAAATGATTCACATGAATGGTAATTTAACGCGATGACAAGACATACATGTTGCTGCTGATCCACTAATAACTAAACGACCGCTTCTATTTTAGTGTAAATGGTAATCAGACAATACACTTGTTAGTAACTCACCCTCACAATTTGCTCTATTTATATATTTTATTCTTGGTATACTTAATCTTATTCGATTGTACAACATTTTGACCATTACCTACAATAATACTACAAATATAGTTCATGCCATACATTCACTAATATTCAATAGTTAAAATAAAATATGAATTGACGATGATAGTGATTTTCATGAATTTTCGTTTAAACTGCGTTATATTAAAAACAACTCGAAAAAAAAATGTTTATGGAAAGATATTTGAGAAACTGTCACCTAGTAGGAATGTATAGCAAATAAGATAAAACGTTAGAAATTATCACTTAGTCCACTCTTAATAGGCCGATATTTTATACTTATTATTATGCAAGCTTGCGTGCTACAGTCTATCCTGTTGTATTCAGAGCAGAAACAAAACTTTTATTATGTCAAAAGAAAAAAAACCGAAAAGAAATGAACTACACTGTAGAGCGTTGCGCGTTACTTAAAGAGACCCTACCTACTCGTTATAATATTTAATTTATTCAAATTACTTTTTATATAGTACACTCTTTCAATATATAATTTCAAACAAAAGTTTTGTTGGAATTGAAATTAATTAAAATACCACGCGCTCTGGTAAGAAACTTCATGAATATAATTTACAAGGAAACTATGAACTATCGGCGGTGGTTTCGAGGTCATAAACGTTTTGCAGTGAAACACACAAGCCGGTCACATAAGTAGTAATAATAATATAAGTAGTAGCGTTCAACAAGTGTCGGGTTGCGTGCAGGGTGTGGTTAAAGAAAAAGCCATACTGAACGTTGACGGCTTCGTTTATTTAGCTTTTTGTGTCTGAAATACACAACAAATATTCGTGAAATTGCTTTCAGAGCAAAATAATTCGTTGTTTCGGCCCGTTAATTAAATCGCATTCTAGAGCGGTATTTACTGGAAAATACCATGTCACAAAAGATTGTATATACTTTAATGTAGACTGAATTCGTTACACTCAACGAACAGGTCGAATGGTACGATAATTATTCATTCATACCCTATAATGGTATGTATAACATTCGCATTTTTGGACATAGCCGTAACTAGACGTGTAACCGATGACAATTTGGGAACTAGTAGGGGCATAATATTACTGTTATTTTCTTGCGGTACGTTTTAGGAATAAAAGAAAAAAACAATGAATAATTTCACTTGGTCCAGAGAAAAGTAAACCGTCAATAGTAATATTAGTGATTTTGCGGGTAAGGCACCGGCTGAGTTAAGCCACAACAATATTACCTTTTACGTACATAATCAGTGAAATGGGTCACGTCCAATTTGCCCAGTTTATGGTAGCGAGGTGTGTGTGTGTGTGTGTGTTTTGTAAGAAGGGCGAAACCGTCCTATATTATACAGCAGATTCTGTCGCCGGCCGACCAAAGGAACAATCGCTTTTCGTTCACCGGGTGGTCTGGCCACGTCGTCAAAAGGAAATGACGAGGGTGCAAGAGATGAAGAAAATGAGCCGTGATAAAATAACCGAAACGTCAAATGGTTTCCTCTCGTATGAAAAATTACACGCTGCTATTTTTGACTTTATTACATAACTCCCACTCTCCTTTGATGAAGCCATTAAAGATCACGGGGTTTCCGCTCGATAATATCAGGGGAAAACCTTTGGTGCTGACAAATAATTGTGTATATGCGTCAAGAGGCTTTTGCTGTACAAACAAAATAATAACATTATTGCGACGAAAAAAATAAAAACCAAATATCAAATCAGTATGGTCAAAGACCAGCAATAGGTCGGTTAGAGTCAAAGAATATTTCATTAACCGAATTGTCTATACATTAATGCATATATAGATTCAGGATGTGAACATATTAGATATCTCAGAAAGCATCTACTCGGCTTTTGAGTAGGTACCTAGACTTCATCAGAAACAAACGTATTTTGTGTTATGTATAAGAAGAGCAAGAGCACGCAATTTAGTATAAAGCATATTATTCTAGATTCTATAATATTCGATTGCCGGTGTCATTGTGGTATTGTCATACTCGTGATGTCTTATGGCGTCATTCTAAGTATGAGCTCTCGTCGGTGCCCTCCATCAAGCAAAGAGTTAGTGACCAGTTAGCTGGAAGTAGACCGTACGTATAATTAGAACATTTCATAATATCATGTACAGAATCAACCAAAGGCTCGGCCTACATCAGAAGACTTTTACTAGTAAGATCAATAAAAATGATCGAGGAGACCAGCTGTAAGTTTCTTTAAGTGTTGAAGAGGATTCAAATATTCCCAACTTCTCTATTACCCGCGTTGCTATCTTTATATGTTTACTTTGTATTTGAATGGCTGAGCACGAACAATTAAGTTGATGAACGCCGAAGGTCAACTAATGAAGTTTAACTTATGGTCGAAGTAAACATAATTTCTATACTATAAGAAGTTAATCTAAAGGCACAGCTCAAAAATGTCAAGAATTTTTGATGGGTCCGTTTAATATAATAACATTTTTGTGCAAAGAGTCTTCTTGATGAAACCCGATATTCTACGGATCTTAAAAGTTATGCTACTTACTTGTACGTGGACGTGAGCACAAAGGATACAGGAGAATATAAAAATATATATATTATAACGTTCGTTGAACATAAAAATAACAAGCTAAATTGATGGAAAATTACCGAGATCAACTAGATTAAAAAGCAGCTGCATCTAAACGTGATAATATTATAATATGTTAATCTTGACACTAGATTAGGTATTTTGAATCGACGCATAAAGCTTATCCTACATATGTGTGCCCATGTCCCTTATACTAATGTATCTATAATATGCATGTACCACATTATTTGCATGGCGGCAAAAACTCTTGGAGAGTTGGCCAGAAGAAGAAGAAGGCCACATTATTTGCAGCTCCAAGAAGAACGCGGCCGTGCCTGGATAGAAAAAAATAAATAAAAGCACATTCAATCCGCATGCATTCACAACACACATAGTCGTTGAATCACGTCGTCAAGATTTATGGAGGTATTGTTGACATTTTTTGACGGTTAAGATATTTTCTCATTTCCCGAGAGTAATACCGACAACGGCGGTGCGCATCTCTGGGTTCGGTCGTACGTTATTTCATGTGTTTTGCAGTTTTTACTGTCTTCGCTTTTTTCGCCACCTTTATTTCATAGCAAACTTTTGTACGGTGCGAGCCACTTAACGGCGGGCAAGAGTATACAGTGTGAATAATACAAGATCCGTTGGTTTAACAAAATGGACTAATTCAATTCCGCCAGGATCTATTTAAACGCATTCGACCTTTGGTATGCACAAGGCTCTGCAAAGTGATCG